ATAGGTAGCTGGAGAAAATGAGCCAATTGAACTATTTTTTTATGAACGTTTTTTACACTCAAGTCAGCTGCCTATCTGTTAATACTTTTAGATCCTGTTTAGTACGAAGCAATGAGAATAAGAACTAAAAATTGAAATTAAATTTTTAAAAAAATTATTAAAAAAAGTGTTTAGTATAAGTAATTGCTTATTATATGAAATTAAATAAACATATGTAAGTGAGATTGGAGAATACCATAAGTTTGTTCAATCCAAATAACAAACTATTCCTCATACTAAATAATACTACCTCCGGTCCTAATTATAAGACCCAGTTGACTTATTTGAAGAGATTAAGGAAGTAAGTTAAGTTAATTATTTGTAATAAATAAGTGTTGTCATTCCTAAAATATCTTTACTAATTAAGTATATTGGCTAGAACTATCATTATTAGAAGGATTATCTTGGAAAAAAATGCATAAATGTGAGAGACAAAATGGATTGGGGTCTTATAATTAGGACCAAACAAAAAGTCAAACAGGGTCTTATAATAAGGACCGGAGGTAGTATAAGTTTTAATATATTTTTTCAATCTCAATCTTAATTCTTATTTTTTATTTTCAATAGTTTATATGGGTTCCCATTCGTGATGAGCACCCAATGCTTATCACCTGATGAACAATCTGGACGGTCCAGATTTAATATTATTAGATAATTATTTTAAAATAGAAAAAATTATATTTTTAAAGAATGATAATTAAGATATTATCTTTATTTTTTATCCTATACCTATTAAAATAATTATTTTTAAAAAATAAAAATAAATCTGAACCGTCCAGATGATCACCAATATAAATCACAGTTTATATCGGCGCTGTAGATTTACACCTTAATAATAGAAGGGGGGTGGTTATCCATATGACGTGGGAGTAATGAGGCGATGATGGCGTAACGCAGAAATTGAAGACTATTTAATAGAAAGAGAAGTGGAAATTGCAGTCCGGTCAAAAAAAAAAAAAGTGGAAATTGCAGCACACGCGTGGCACTCGCACGAAATGTATATATTTGATTGATGAATGATTGAGAATTGACTGGTAGTTCTAAATAATTCATGAGAAAGACAGAAAGACACCACATAGCAAATTGGTGCAAGTTTAGACGTTTCTAGGGAGCAATACTTCCTTTGTTAAAGTTGACTTAAGAATGACTTGCATTATGAAAATGCCTTAAAAGTTACGTAATCAGTGTGAACGCTAATCCTACCAGCTTAAGATTCCCTTTCTGAGCGTGACGTGACGAAATTAATGTGAAGCCCGTTTAAGAAGCTGGAAAAAGAAAACAAAAAACAAAAAAATTACCCGTTGAATTTTAAAAAAATAAATATGTTATGATGATTATTCTTGTTATGACTTTAATATGTTAAAATCTGTTAAAATTATCTATTTATCATTTAAAATTCAATAGGTATTTTTTTACCATTTTTTCAATAAAAAATATGGTTGTAAATTCTCAAAAGTACTTTTTACTAAGATGTGGTGTACTATACGTGTGTGTGTGTGTGAAAGAGAGAATCGTAAAGCTCTGTTTTTTAATTAGAGATTATTGCTTACTTCATTGGAGTGCCGTGTCATTTGCAATCTAACCATTAAAAGGAGTTTAAATATAAAGAAAAGTTGCCAAGGTATTAATAAGAAGGAAAATTATATATTTATCCAAAGTATGAAGAATATAATAGTAATAGGCAATATTTAAATATAACACAATACCAACAAACCTAAAAAGGATAATTTAGGGAGACCTGTTGATTGTAAGAAATTCCTATTGAAAAATAATTTCAATCATTTAATACACGTAATTGAAAAGGATAATTTAAAAAGACCACGTTTGTGACAAATATATAGTTAATTTAATTAATTTTATTAATATTTTTATATTTGTCATCTAACTCTTATATTGAAAATAAAAGGTAGTATATCAAGATAATCGGAATTTGCTGATCTACCCTTGTAATCAGATTTCTAGCAGTTCTCCGTCTCTTTGACGCTGCTTCTTGCCTGACAAATCTCGTCCTCCGTGAATGACAAAGTTTGGGTCACAATTCACAAAACCACGAAGCTTCTTTTGTAGACTTCTCAATTTCATCTTTGCTTTCTTGTATTCTTCTTAGTTATTCTTCCTCCTCCTCTGGCCCATCCGCAATCTTGTCCGTATTCTTTCTTTAATTTGTACTCGCTTCAATCATTCTTCGTGTTATAGATCAAGCACCTCTCTATACCCAAAAGGGGTGGATCCTGATCGTATTTTAGGGCTTGTTTGTTTTTGTTCTCAAAACAATTTTATAAAATTGTTTCTTAAAATAAGTTTTGAAAACAAAAAATAAAAGAATTTGTTTGGATAATAGCTTTAAAAATCACGTTTGAAAAAAAATCATAGAAAATCACACTTGGTATGTGATTGTTATCACTAGTAATAATAAGTAGTGGATAATAGGTGAGAAGAGAATAAGATTTCTCAAAATTTTTCAAAACAAAAAAAAAACATATAAAAGTTGTTTTGGTTTCTTAGTTTTGAAAAACATATTACTGTTTTTTTTAAAACAAGTAACTAAAAACAAATTACTAAACACGTTTTTTTGTTTTTATGTTTTTAAAAATAAAAACTTGTTTTCTAAACAAGAAACCGGCGATCTTTGTTCTCTATTCTAGTTACAAAAGTATTTCATGTTTTATAGTTTTCTCACCGCGATCTTTGTAAAATAACAGTCATAGTTCTCTATGACTGTGGAATATTGGCACAGAATATCAAAGGCTTAGTCTGTGAATGATGTTCAAAATTCAAATGATTACGCAGGCTTGTAAAGTGAGTGTATATGTTATAGAAATACCGTATGAATAATTAAATTGAGGATCTTTGACGGCCTTCTCGTTCAGAATTGAGAAATGACTATAATGAAATCGAAATCATATCGAATTGAATTTGAGAAAGTTAAATAATATGTGTTAGGTTAAAATTTTATTAAATACTCCCTCCGTTCCTTATTATAAGAGACATTTGATGCTTATGGCATGTTCCTATATATAAGAGACACTTACAAGTTGTCTCTACTTTTTTGCGTTGATTTACTATTTTACCCATATTTATTATCTCCAACTTACACTCTCTCTCCCTCTCACTTCTCTTTCTTTTAATAATTTAATTGTTCTCTCTCCTTATTAATGAGGGCATTTTTAGAAAAAAATTATACTTTTTACACATTAATTGTTTTTAACTAATTTTAACTGTTTTTTTTATCAACGTACTTCGGTTATTTGTCTCTTATAATAAGGAATGGAGGGAGTAAATATTTATGCCGAGGAGGAAAATTCTGAAAAATTTACGTATGTAAAAGAAAATATTTTTTTTTGTGGCTTTAATTTGCATCATCAAAGCAAATCAAGTTTGGGAGAGTTCAAGTCAAGGTCTGTTCTGAGTCAATTTTCCTTTTAACTTTCTCAAATGCGCGTTACTTTTTCTTTTCTATAATTTCTTCCCCACGCACTCAGCCGCCGTACCTTCTCGAAGTGTTTTGAAACTTATTTAATTAATTGATTGCCGACTTCCTCTTCTTCTACGTCATTTGCCAGCTAGGAGACTCTTGATTCTTTTCTCCCCTGTGTTCAAATTATGAACAGCTTACATTTTATACTAAAATACCGACATATATACGCTTCCAAATTCCCTTTGTCTTCACGTGTTCTTCTTGTGCATTGGCACACGCTTCCATGATATTTTTCTATTCCTCTTCTGGCATAAAAGGTTCTTCCATCCGCCGGCATAGATGTGTAAGAACTAAGAAACACGTAAAAAAAAAAAATGTTGAAATTCAAAGTATGTATAATATAATACTGGTTCATTCATTAAGTCAATTTAGTGATCTTTATGTTGTTAAGTATTAGTGTAACTAATGTAATACGTGCGTAGGGCATATATAACCAAAAATGTTTGCTGGAGAATTGAAGCAAGTTTGATTTGATCGAGCACTTAAATTTAAAAGCAAGAGGTACGAATTAATCAATTCAAATTTTGAATTCTAAACCGTCTCTTGTGTTTGTCCAACTGTTGGTTACCACCAATTAATTAGGGCCACTAAAAAAGGCGGAGCCACTAAAAAAGTTCAAGTCAAACTATGCAATTTCCAGGTAGGGGGTGAGGCTAAGGGTAGAGTAAAGGTAAGTGTGTGTAGGATTAATCATTAATAATATTGTCCAAACATAGAATTAACTGAGTTTAAAGCCGCATAACCTTTTGGGTAGCCTGCCAGAGCAATCAGATATTGAAGCCGATCGAAGCCATGATTCGGACACTGCGCCCATGGCCATGGGTTGTAGAACTCTGCTTTTAGAACAAGCGGCATGCCATTGATTTATTTTAATTTCTTCTATGACTTTGTGGTCCTCGTACGTATTTCCCCAAAAAAATTATAATCTTTGAAGTTTTAGTTATTGAAGATCCCTAGATTCCCAAAAAGGGGTTTAAAATTATTACTCGTGTGTTTAATTTTAGAGGGAGGAAATCCAGGACCAAGGAAGGAAGATACTGTATAGACCACCGTCGATCGACTTGAAAAAATATCTCTGAAGCAGAGATAAAAGGACACGGAGAGCCAACCACTCAGGGGTTGGGATTGGGGAGATAGCTGCCAAAGTCAATGACAAAGAGAGTCAATGGAAATCCAAAATTAGCTCAACCTCATCTCGTTTTTTCATTTAATGCCACATGAACTTGACCTTGACACGTCTCCTGAAAATTCTTAGTCATCTCTCCCCCTCTCCCTCTCGTTTTATCTTTTTCCCCTCTCTTTTCCAATCCGCGTTGTACTTTTTACACCCCAGCAATGACGTCACAACTCGTGCACAATTTCCTGCAACTTTCCTTCCTTCTACACCTAAGCAATAAATAAAATTAACGATAATTGACGTGTTCCTCGTCCTCCTTTCTATATTTTTTTGTATATATCTGTTGCTTATGTTTTACTGATTCACTTAAATCTATCAGATCAACTGTCTTTAAAGGAGACAAACCACTTGGGCGGCTTCTTCAAGCCATTTCTTTTCCCTTGTTTTGCGATGGAAGCAACGTGCGAGAACACTCTTCTCAACCTCAACGCCAGCCCTTCTCGGCACGAGGACGGTGTCCAGGTTCGCACAAACCTAACCTCAAATATATCTATCAATTCGTGTGTTTCTCTCTTTACAGATAATAATGTTGTTCAGTTTTTCGATTTGGTAATGTTAGAAATTGAAATTGTGGTACCAGGCTGAGGTTTTGATGATGGAAGAGCTGAATCGTTTGAGTAGTGAGAAGAAGATGCTAACTGAGAAGCTTACTCGCGTTACTGAGAGCTACAATGCTCTGCAAAAGCATTTTAACCAAGTCCTTAAGAACACCGATTCTGAGTTGGACTTAAGTACAGTACAATCAAGGAAGAGAAAGGCTATTGGAACCGGGAATTGTATCGGCAATAATATGTTGAATTTTAGCGGCGCTTCTGAGTGCAGCACCAGTACTGAGAATTCATTCAAGAGGCCCAAGGACCACAGTCTCAGTCACCCTATCTCTCCCAAGGTTTCAAAGTACTTCGTGCGCACGCACGCATCAGATCCCAGCTTAGTAAGTCCTTCGTTCATATACATATACATATACATATACATATACATATACCTAAATATAAGAGCTACCCTACAAACTGGCTATTATATTTAGGATCGGAGTATATTCTATGAAGACTGGTGAGTTTTGGTTTCATCCTTTGGAGTACTATAAAAAGGATTTGAGTTATATTGGGAAGAAAATTGACCAAGAAATTAAAAACAAATCCTATCAAGGGAACACGAACGGATAAGTGTATAGATTGTTGTATACCGACTTGGGCAGCCGTATCTGGATGATGCTAATTGCTCATCGTACGATTTAACTTGTTAGTTAGCTAATTAATTAATTGATGTTATAAGCTTCAACAATCGGAGACAATTAATTAATAAAAAGGTTTTGCGATTTGCTTCACTTTTGCCATGTCAACATATAATAATGATCGATCTATTTTTGGATGTTGCAGTATGTGAGAGATGGATATCAGTGGAGGAAATATGGTCAGAAGGTGACTAGAGATAACCCTTCTCCTAGGGCTTACTTTAGGTGCTCCTTTGCTCCTAACTGCCCAGTGAAAAAGAAGGTATATATATTTAACGCTCCCTTTTCTCTTCATGTAAATAATTACAGCTTTAATTGGATCACTGATGAAGAAATAAGAAGAAGCAGAATCACCAAATTGTATTGATATTTAGGTGCAAAGAAGCGCGGAAGACCCAACTTTATTGGTTGCGACTTACGAAGGAGAGCACAACCATATTATGCATGGAGCTCAAAGTGAAGTGATTGACCCAATTCCAGTGAACTCAAATGCAGGGCCGAGTGAGATTATTGATCAGAATTCCAGCCGCCAGTTTTTGGTTCAACAAATGGTTTCTTCTTTGTCAAAAGATCCCATTTTCAAATCAGCTCTCGCTACTGCCATTTCAGGAAGAATTTTAGAGCACACTGTTCCCTAGCTAATATATAATAGTTCAGATCATTTGTATTGATATGTAAAATTAAGTGAGGAACTTGATTTTGTAGTTTTTGCGTGGCTCTTGTTGTAGATCGCGTATAATATTGTAGGGTGTGCAAAGTATACATGTGTATTTGCTGCTATGGCATTAGCCTAGACGAGGCTGCTTGTGATAATTTGGTTTCTACGACTTCCATCCAGTTATGATAAGATACTATTTGAAAGCAAAGTAGACGTCCAGTTCATCTGGGGATCATAGTTGCCGCACAGCAGCGAGTAACATGGGAGGAACAGGTATGGTTAGTTAATGTTGACCGTAATTGTGGCCACCAACGTAAGAAGGACTACTGCAAATAACTAGTACAGGCACTACACTCTTGTTCATCTTAAAGCGTCCTTCCTGGTTACATCTAGAATACACTGAGGAGGAGTCGAGAAAAAGCTAAATCCACTAGACTAGGAGCATTAAGAGCTTCTTTGGCCAGAATATCAGCCGCCTCGTTGCCTTCTCTACAGCACCAGACCACGTCGACCTCGCAGTCTCTATTCATCATGGCTATCCATAGCTGACGGCATAGGAGGCCGATCGAACCAGATATCCCATCGGGTCTCATTCACCTCAAAACGTTGCGACGATTCCATCCTATCCACGATCTCGTATCGCGGGAAGCCCAGAATTCCTCGTTGTGCCCCTGGGTAGGATCTTAGACCACGCCTCTGCTGCAAGTGAGCTCGACATCTCTGGGGCGCTTTCGGTCTCCAAATGCTCTTCCAAACCCATCTCAAGGACGTGTCGCCTCTCACTGAAGAATGTGCTTGGTACGAGGGATTTGGAAGGGAGGGAAGGGAGAGAGAAGGATTTTAATTATTTCCTTTTGTTTGACAACGCACAAATTTTAAGAGGGGAGGAATCATCAACCTCCCCTTTAAAATTGGGAGGATTTGGAGGGAAAGGATAATATTTTGTCATGTTATGACTATTATGCCCATATTGTAACCATTATGCCTATATCTTAAATAAAATAAGGGCAAATTATTCATGTCAAAATATTTTTCTCCCCTCACATCATGAATCAAATAAGGTAATATTAAAACTCTTTCTCTTCTCTTTGTTTTTATAAATCCAAACAATGTAATATTAAAATCCTTCCACTCTCCTCTCCTCCCCTACTCTCCATTAAAATCCCTCCTCTCCTCTTCCTCTTATTGAGCCAAACAAACCCTAAGGCTATCATAATCTGATATCGTGGAAAAGGTCCCTGCATGCGACGTCCACCTTCACGTGGGTCGATCCGTCCTCTGCTAATGGCCAAATTAAATGCATTTCAAAGCTTCCTTCAGAATTTCTATCTATGGCTCCGGTCTCGAGCTGCCTCCTCATCGGAGGACCATATAACTGGTTTTATTAAACACATTAATCAATGTTTGGATTAGCGGTAAAAAAAATAGGTGAAATTTATTTATAATTTTAATTTTGAGGATAATTGATTGTAATTTATTTACATGTTAGGTATAATTACAAAGTCAGAAATGACAGTTTTCTTTAAAATCTCCAACACACCCCTCAATATGGGTGTTTGGTTTGGTCAGAAATCAATATTGGTGGTCTCATAATTGATTCAATGAGAATATGGGGGTTCTAAAAAAATTTTAGGAAATCACAAATTTAATTTTCAAAATTGATTTTCATGAGTATCCAAACACTGATGCCTAACTGTAATCAGTTTGGGTGCTCATCTTCATAACTCATCCCCTCTAGACTCTCTAGATTAGATCTAGATTACTTAGATTTATTTTTTTAAAAATAATTATTTAATAATGGATATAAAATCTAAAATAAAGATAATATCTTAATAATTGCTTTTTAAAAATCTTTTTTATTTAAAAATAATTAATCAAGTGCCTCTCATTTCTAATAGACTAGTTTTTTTGCAATTGAACTCCTTCTTTGAGTCTATGCTCATCACAATTTTATTGGTGGTCTTATAAACTGATTTAATGAGACCTTAGTATCAGAAATAATAACTCTTTTTAATACAAGAAATAGGGCATGGCTAACAGCCTGCGGGCTCAATACATAGCTACTGTAACGAAAATCACGTTCCATTAAATGCTTTGCACTCGATCTGTGGACGGTTCTTTAGACGTACTACTTTCTATTTTTAATATAAGATCTTATTTTATTTTCATTTTTATTTTAAATATAAGACCCTAATTTTTTTGGTCTTTCATATTTATTTATTTTTTCTAAAATAGTCCGTCTAATAATGATAGTTCTAACTAAGGATATTTTACGAAAGACAATACTTATTTATTATAAATAACTAAATTAATTTATTTTCTTAATCTATTCAAATTAATTAACTAGTTATTATATTTAGTATTAGAAATATAGTAATAACTTACGATTAGGACCCAAGATTTATTCCTGTTCTTCTGTCATTTGCATCACTGTCGCCTTTTTGTATATTCCAGCTTTTTCTGTAAACTTTTTTTTTTTGGGCCAAACTTTTTCTATAAACTTAACTTCCCAAGACCCTGTCGTAAAGGTCCCACCTCAGTTTGCTTGTCTACAGTTTCTGAGGTTAAAACGAACATCGTTGGAATATTGTGCCATGGCACGGACTATATATGTCAGTGTCAGGAGTAGCCACGGGTACACGTAAAAGTGCGCCGTATGTATTTGACCAATGGATTCCACATTCACATTTCTGCTTTCACATATGTGACGCCTGCAGCATTTACTGTTACTATGATCGATCTCTTTCAAGTCTCAACCGAACAACAAAACAAACAAGAAATTAAGGTTGGAACGCTATGCTCATCAAACATTTCAAGCTTGTCGGATCTGAATAATATCTATATCTTATTTAGATAATTCAAATCTGATTTTTTTATTTGTTTAAAATAATTATTTTGATATGTATAGAATTTAAAATAAAGATAATCTCTTAGTTATTATTCATTCAAAAAATAGTTTTTCTATTTGAAGATAATTAATTAAAAATTTTAAATCTGAACCGTTCAAATTAGATATAAACAGTTTAAATCTGATTAGTTTAGAATGCTTATTAAGATAAAGATCCTCTTCATACTTCCTTTTCAAACTTCCCGTTCACAAGTCCCTCACGTGAGGCAGCAATACCGGCAGCGAATGAGCCTCAACTTACTGCAAACTGGAAAGTAAACAAAGTTCAGTATTCTCCGAAATCTCATCCTTGGATCTGTACGTGTACATCTTATATATAGAAATTAAACGTACATGTTTAAATATCCCGCACGGCAAGTTCGACTTTTGAAACCTTGATCCGACTTATTATAACTTGACTTAATCTGTATGTATATATAGTAACAGTTTTGATTATTCAAGTTCCATAATATGGTTCCATGTGAGATTGAACAAGATTATGTCATATTTTGCCACAAATTCAACAGCCCCAACCGGCAGCTTAGGGAAGAGTGGGGAGTCCAACCATACTTGTCTTCCACGCGCAGGGAAGCAAAGATTCTCATCTTGGACTTTGAATCCTTGACAATCAATATATATATATATATATATATATATATATATATTTATAAAACACTCTATGTAATAGCTAGTAAGTAGTAAATACGTTTTTCTGAGTAATATATTATTTTAATTGAACTAACCAATAAGTTGCCAATGATTCTTTTGGTTCAACTAGTCACTGAGTATCCCCACGGAGATAATGCACAATAAAACTAAAGTGAATTGCATGTTCCTAGTAGGGATGCTCAAAATAGGCCCGTCCAGGCTGGCCCGTCCCAGTAGTAATATTTTTAATATTTTTTATTATATTATAATTACTAAATGTTAAAAATATAAAATGTTTAAAGCATGTGTAATACAAAATATTTATATTTGTAGCTTTCAGCACATATGTAGTTGAATTATTATTATTTATTTAGAGCTTTTATAATTGTTTATGATTTTTGAAGTTATTATATGTTTCTAATTATTATTTATCTGAACTTTTGTTTAAGAGGGTTAAGCCTAAAGAAATAAAAAAAGAAAACAAAAGATGCTTTCAAAGGGACTAACTCCAAAGAACTAAAAATAAAAAGAAAACGACAACAAAAAAGTCATTATAATAGGTCTAACTACAAAGTAATTTTTTTTTTTAAAAAAAATGGAAGGTCCCAGTTCCGTCCACAGGACACGGAATAGATTTCTTGTTCTGTCCTTGTTCATTAAGATGAGACTGTTCTCATACCGTCCCGTCCCATGAACAGCCCTAGTTCCTACATATAATTTATCATGCTTGATTCATTGGTTGTAATTATATTTTAGTATATTCTTAAATATCTATAACTAAAAAAATGTGTAACCAGTTATTATTGGTCGATATATTTTGATTAATTTTAACTACTAAAAAGCTATAATTTATTTGTTGGTTCACAAAATGGTCAGTTTTCTTATGGTCATTTTTTAATTAATTTAATTTTCATAATAATATTATATACATAATCTGAAGTGGAAGTCGATGAAAATTAAGAAGAGGTCAAAAGAGGGGAAGGGTTACGTGGAAGGGGTGGATTAAGTCCTTAAGAATTGGCTGTTTGTATAAGTGTGGACGGCCGACTGTTACGTTACTGACTTTGAAATTCCACTGACTTTCAAACTCCGAATGAATATTCAAGAGGTTTTAGTAATCGCGTCAATAAGCTTCTTTTATTTATATAAATTAATTAATTATGTATACCGCATCAACTTTTTTTGACCAGCTATACCACATCAACTATTGTTACCCAATATTATCAATATCAATATCATCATCAATATACATACAATTACAGATATAAAACATTTTTTTAAAACTGGTAAAAAAGGAAAACATTTTTTTGGAAAAAAATTATATTCAAAATTCCCTAAAAGTATATCAGAGTTACTTGCTTATTATTTAACAAATATTTAACTGGTAGTGTTTTTTTACGAAGATTATTGGTACTGTTAAATAAAGGTGTAATTAGGTGTTAGTGTTGAATGAAGGGCTCTGTCGAAAGTTTATACTTTTTTTTTTCTTAAAAAAAAAAAGATTGATGAGGTGCATTTATCTTCAAAATTTGCTCTAAAGAGGTAGTATTATAAATTGAAACGCAATCAGTTCTATTCTTAAGTAGTCATCATCTTAATTTAATCTTGCATATAATACGCAAGACCGGAATTTATTCAACATAAAAAGGCTAGACAATCGCATTTTACCATGAATAATATAATGCAACTTAATTGATGTGTTATATAACCGCACAAATTAAAAGGCGCTTTACCCATGCTACCTTTATTTTAAAACTTTTTTTTTTTGGTGAAAATAGGGGGTAAAGCCCTTCTTATTATTTCAGAACCTTACGTCGGTAAGCAATCCCCACATTATCCCTGTACAAATATAAAGACAGCTTCTGGGATAGATTCTTATAAAATGTCACCACATCTTCGACTAAAAGCTCATGGTGGCAAGACAATCAGCACAACAATTGCCTTTTCTAAACACATGTTGTATCCTAACCTGATTAAAAAAAAACTCAATTCTTTCTTTACAATTTTTAACAAAGCAGAATTGACATAATACTCATCCTTAATCTTATTTAACATGTTAACAATAGCCAAAAAATCACCCTTCACAATTAACCATCGACAATCAAGGGTAGCAGCAACTTGTAAACCTGTAATAATGCCCCATAATTCAGCTATAATGGCTGAGCAGACTCCCAAGTGTCTTGTAAAGCCAGCTTTCCATCTTCCACTGCCATCCCGAACAAGGCCACCACATCTTGCCATTCTTAAAGTTGATTTAACAGCCCTATCGGTGTTTAACTTTAACCAACCCACATCTAGAGCCTTCTAGGCAATATTTTCTGCTTTCTAAATACATCCCATAACACTTCATTGTACTCTAGTAGCCAGGATTTCTTAAACATATCTGTTTATTATAAAACAAGGGTTCTATAGCATCACAAAGCCCTCCTCAAATATACATTTATTCCTCCAATTCCATAGCTGCCAATATGTAACTCCAAATGTCACCTTCCAGCCCGCCTTTCACTTTCGCAGCTCAAGCACCATCTAAACCAATGCTTTCCGTTAAGTTGAAAGATATCAACTTTTGAAGCATACTCACCCCACATTTGCCATACGTCCTTTGCAATATAGCAATCTCTTAGCACATGCATAAGCCCCTCAGTTACATATTTTTAACAAAAAGAAAATCCGTTTATCAGCTTGCTTCTTCTTTCAGCAGTGAGTAGCCTATCATGTGTTGCAAACTATAAGAGCACTTGGATCCTTTTAGGACCCTTCCAATGCCAGATTTTATTCTACATAGTATCTTTATTACCTTGTTCATTTCTTCATATTCTATACATGTCAGTAATGTTATAATCCACATTAATACCACCTCCCCACTTCAACTCATCCTCCACAAACTCTTCATTTGGAGGTAGGATGGGCAAAATGCATCTACAATCATATTCAGGAATAAACCTCATAATCTTTTCTAGATCCCAGTTCCCGTTTGAATTCACCATCTCCCTAACAACAATATTAGCTTCTTCAGCATCAAGAGGCATAGAGCATTTATTAAGCACCTTCCATCCTCAGTCCAAATATCTTTCCAAAATTTTACATGTTTACCATTTCCAATTTCTCACTGGATATTGGATTTAATACTTGGCCAGATCCTTCCTAAGTTCTTCCAAATTTTAGAGTTAGTATTCTTTACTACTCATTCATCACAAAGACTTTTTTCCTCTCTCATATTTCCCCTTCAGCACCATCGAACATAGATTTTGTTTGCGGGAATGGTTCTCTGAAGAGTACAAGAAGAAGATATGAAGAAAGTGGTGCACTATGTCTTCAAGGCATGGATAGTACTTTCTTTTAGGCTTAATTCGCCCCCACTTATTCCTATCTTTTAGGGTGCAAGTTGGGTTGACCGGCGAATTTCCTTCAGAATACAATAAAGACCCTTGAATATGGATTGCACTTCCAAAATTCAAGCAAAGACAACAATGGTTTTTACAAAGTGATAATTTGACTATATCTCTGCGTGCACTCAAAGACAAAGGCAATGAGTTTGATTTTAGTGATTATATTGTATATCTCCAAATGAAGTGATGGTGAAGGGTTTATATAGAGTATGAAATGATACCTTAATGAGATACCTTTTAGAATAAAAACTTACTAAATAAAAAGTCACAACCATATGTTAGTTCATGAACCAACATAATTTAAATAAATACAATGAATTTAGTATGTAGGTTCATTTAATGTTTTAACTTCCTACATGATCTTTTGTTAAATACAATGTATTTAGTATGTAGGTTCATTTAATATTTTAACTTTCTACATAACCCTTCATATAAATATATTAATTTATATGAAGACACAACCCTTCAAATAAATTTATTAATTTATATGAAGACATAACCCCTCGTATAAATTTATTAATCTAATAAATTTATATAAGGACATGACTTTTCTAAAAAACACATCTCTTCATTTTAAAAATATTCCAACAATCCCCCACCATTTTTAAAATGAACTCAAACTCTTATCACTTCGAAAATCTCATGTTTTCAGTAAAGGTATCTCAAGGATTTGAACCTTTACCTAAGCAAGTTCATTTAATATTTTAACTTCCTACATAACCCTTCATATAAATATATTAATTTATATAAAGACACAACCCTTCAAATAAATTTATTGATTTATATGAAGACATAACCCCTCATATAAATTTATTAATCTAATAAATTTATATAAGGACATGACTTTTCTAAAAAACACATCTCTTCATTTAAAAAATATTCCAACAGATTTCCTGGTTTATTTGCAATTACCTTCGAACCAATCTTTCCAAGCAGAGCATCGTTCATAGTCCCTGTGCCTCTCAACCCATGCCCACCAATTTCTTTCGAAGAACACATCATATTCCAGCTTATGGCATGAAGCTTCCTCTTCCCCTCTTCGCTTTTCTATATAAAATCTTTTTGGATTCTTTCTAACTGCTTCCCTACACCCACAGGAATAAATGAATGCTGCATGTGAGGGATTGCCATTTAGCTCGTGATTGACTGCACAAGAGTAATCCTGCCAGCCAAAGATGGTGTTTGTTTTTTTCAAGCATTTAACTTGCTTTGCATTTTTTCAATTAGAAACTAGAACTTACTTTTCTAACTTCTTCCTTAGGTAATATATGCACCCAAGTATCTTCCCAAGTCTTCTATTCTTTCAAAACCTGTCATACTACAAATAGTATTTTGCAAAGCTCTATCAGTGTTACTCAAAGGTTATGTTTATATATTAAGAAAATTATTAAATAGCTTACTGGACTATACTAAGGCAAATTGATATTATTTGACTAAAATATCCTTAATGAATGATGAGGGAAGAGGGTACACTATGATGGTTTGACTTATTATTACATATTATTAAATATTAAGGCATAAAATTGCACTGGCGAAAAGGTATTTTAAGATAGAGGTTAAAGTATATATTTAATTTTTTAATTTTATAAAAAATTTCAATTTGTCCTTAATTTCAAAATATATACTTTTGGTTATTTAATTCTAAAATTTTGAGTAAAATGATGATATTGAGATCTTAAATGTTAATAAAATATTCTTAAATACTAACATATTAAGTTTAATTTTTAAAACAATCATGATTGTTGCAAAAAAATTATTATTTAAATATAACTATTTCAGAGTTAAATGACCAAATACATGCTTTTTAAAGTTAAAGAATTAAATTGAGACTTTGTATAAAATTAAATAATTAAATATATAATTTACCTAAAATAAAGTAGTGAAGGGAATATAAAGATGGGAAAAATCGAGAGGATTAATTTCCTGAAATTAAAAGAGAAAGTTGATGAAGTTTTCTTGCTTAATTCGTATTATTTTATGTTCGGTGTATTGAAATGGATTTTCGGCATGATTTAAAGAAAGACTCCATGAAATTCGGTCATCGGTCATCAACAACTCTTCCGTATCATCACAGGCGTTCACACTTTGAAAGGTCCGTGATTAATTAACTAGCCCTTACTTTTTCGTTTTAAACTTGTAACTAATTTATAAATATTAAAAAAATTAGTTAAGTTAATTATTTATAATAAATAAGTATTATTTTTTAAAATATTCTTATTAATCATGTGTATTAGAACGAAATCGAAACCCTTTTTAATTACATTATAATATTATGTAAATATAATAATATTAGTACATGCGCAACAGTATTAAGTATTAACTAACTCGTTTAATTTTCCTGCAATGCTAAAAAAATTTCCTAAAAATGCATCAAAACTGACGACTTTTAAGAAAGACTCGAAGTCCATTAAATTTCTTTTCACCCCTCGTAACACGTCGGATAGGGGCCGATGGATTACGATAGAAAGCTGGCGTCTTTGCTGCTAGGCAGAAAGAAATGAGCTTAGGTCACTGAGATGACGTAATGCCCATTACGTTTGATGGCTGACGCAGAGATAGGATCCTGTTCAAAGAATTAATTCTTTTATATCCACATGAACCTCGATTTTTCTAACACATGGTGTTGAATTCGGAAACCCATGGCCCAGATCAAGCTGTATGATTCGCAGGGAAAAATTTTCAAAAGAGCAGCCCCCAAAAGAATTTCTCTCGTCTTCTTCTTCACCCACCTTCAACTACCCAATAATTTTATTATAAATAATCCAGACTCCCTCCATTATTCCAGTCTAATTAATTTACGGTAAATACATATTCTTCTCCTTGTGCTTCAAGCTCCTTCGACTTCCGATCCCCCAATGGATGTAAAGGTAATTAACTAAGTTTCTCCTTTCCTTTGATTTGTTTAATTTGTTATATCATTTTGATCGGGGTAATAATCGCCCTTTTCATGTTCAGTTCTTCTTGTTATTATACGCTTTCTTTCTGGGTAGAACACTACTGAGAAATTCATGAGGATGTGTTTTTTTTTTTTTTTTGTTCAGGAAGAAACGCTTCAATCGGAGTTGAAACGTGTGAGAGATGAGAACAGCGCCCTAAAAGTGATGCTTCAAGTTCTGAACAGCAAATACCAAAAGGTGCAATATCAACTTCAAGAAATTAAAGGATCGGAACCGAATCAAATTATTGCATCAGTTTCTGATTACGATACGAATAATAAGAGACCAAGAATTGAGTTACCCATAGCTCATAAGCCACTACAGATCTTCGCCAGAACTCATCCAAAGGATAACAGTATGGTATGTTTTGTGTAATTAATTATATATAAGCACAGGCGAGTTCAGATTCTATCACGAAGTTCATGTGTAATTTTGAACATTCCTTTGGAATATATACAGATAGTAAGAGATGGATATCAGTGGCGGAAGTATGGCCAGAAGGTTACAAAAGATAATCCATCGCCTCGAGCCTACTTCAGATGTTCCATGTCTCCAAACTGCCCTGTCAAAAAGAAGGTATATATATGCAAACACACACGCACTCATATCAGCTGGTGATTTGTTCTTTCAAATTTGATAGCTTTTAGTCACTCAAGGACATCTGGCACAAAGAACTGATCAGCAAATGCCAAGATAGGATCAGATTTTGTTGACCAAGTAGGACATTTTATGTTCATTAAGGCAGTAACAGATTGGTTTGTGTCAATAAAACCCTGCCTAGTTTTTCCTCAGTTATATGATTATGATCACAGGGGCTAGGACTATGCAAGTGGCTTGATTGCCCAATAAGCTCATCCCTACTCGAGTCATTTGGGTTATTTGAGCAAGGTTTCGGGTCTAGCACTGGGCAAGGTGAAACCCAACCCTGCACGTGTGCAGATGATATGTGTTTTTTATTTTCTAGGATTTCTTCAACGTTTAACATCATATGTAAATTATGATTTTGTTTATGCGATTTGATGAAAGATTTGAAGATGAAAAGGTGGATTAATCAAGAGATTCTAACCTCATGGCAAATGCCAATTACTCAATGCAGGTACAAAGATGCGTCCAAGACAGGTCAATCCTAGTGGCAACTTATGAAGGAGAACACAACCATGGGGTTGTTGATCCTAAAACTCCCCAGGGCTCAGTTGCTGACGACAAATTAGAAGCGACCAACGTTAATGATGCTGGGCTTCCTGGTTGGACTCTGACAGATAAAAGACCCCCCGAGGATGTTGGCACCATCAGAATCGAACAATTTGTGGGTTCTCTCATCAAAGATCCCAACTTCACCGTATCGTTAGCCGAAGCAGTTGCACGCTCCATCACTACCCCACAACGCAAGCAACAAGAAGATCTCGACCTTAATTTGAGTCTCGCTGAAGTGTAAAGAGAATGAGTATTCAGAAAAAAGTAGTTAGGAAACTGGTAGGGTCTCTCACGATTGAATTTGTAAACTTATGAGACGCATATATAAAATGGAAGTATGCAATTTTCCTCTCTCTGTGCTTGTCAATATCATTTCATTTCATGAATTGATAAAAAGACAGAGACGAGAATGAAGGTGAAGATCGCAATCATTACTCATTAGCTTTTGAATGAATCCTGTTTAAGGTTTGATTTGATATCAGTCATCAAAGGGATGGCTTGGAGTAAAATTGAGAAATTCGAGTGCTGCTCAACCTTTGCACATCTGTGAAGTAATCGTCTTCTTCAAGGAATGGCCTGAACTTTTCTTTTCCTCTGCACTTTCCAATTTCATTACAAGGTTTGATAAATCTCGAAAGAACTCAATTATCAAGATTGCAAATGCTACACTATCTACTCATCTGAATAAATTATCAACATTTACATCGCCATTACTCAGTACTCATAACAAACTAGCAGAGCAAAACTAAAGCATACATGCTTTGTACACCAAAATTGTTACAAGTAGCTCGCCATCGAGCTGAACTGCGTGTGTTCCTGCTTTTCTGCTGAGCACAACCGTAGGACAATAAAATGAATATTGATCTAAAATTCTCGACTATCCCAAACAGGATTTATGAAGACTTCTTAGAATTAATCTCATTCTCAGCCATATGTCACCAACGTTACAATTCTTGCGTAAGAGACAATCAGTCACTCGTGTCATCTTTAATGTTGAGGCTTTCTGTCCACTTCAGAAGGGAACTTCACGAACTTGATTACAGCTTGAAGCTTCTGATATTTCATCACTTAATATTGCCACTCTCAATGGGGGTTCGCATCGTTTGTTCTGATTCCTTTTTAGGAGTTAACTTCAACTTCTCATTTTCTGCTTCCTTCATTGCTTTCTTTCTCTCGAATTCGAGCTGCTTGCAGTTATCTTCATGGGCTCGTTCAAACATCCTCACAAAGTTGAGCAGGGTGGATACAACTACAGAGAGAAATTCCAGCTTAGAATGCTGTTCATTCAAGGGATGAATACAAACCATGCCTTTAGACTCCAGGTTTACAATGTCTCGCTTCTGTTAGGAGATTTAAAGTAACGTCGTTGCGATGCCCCAAAAAAAAAAAAAGTAACGTCGTTGCAACCAAAATAAGGCAAAGGGGGAAAAAAAAGAAGAAGGAAGTTAAAAAGCTATCGCATGGTGAATTAAAAATTTGAAGCAGTTCTTGGTCCATTTCATATCTTTTGCTCTGCTAAATCAACCTGTAAGGTATACGAAAAAAACAGAGAGAGACAGTTGAGATTACCTTGTTCAAATGGGCAACGTGCAGGATCCTCTCCAAAGTATTGAGCTAATGCATCCGCGTTTCTACCCTGGTACATCCAGATTCAATTACGTGACAAGTCATTTCAGCGATTCATGGAGTAAGCTCAAAAGTATCTGTTAAAAGAAGTGAATTCATACCACATTTGAATAAAGTTGAGCCAAAGACCTCACTTCCGCTTCAGCATCACTAAGAAATTCCTTCAAAATCTAAACGTTACCAAGAAAATTTCTTTAAAAGATATATCTAAAGACAAAAACACTAAGATGCATAAATGAAGAAGTGTTACGATGTTCATAGTAGTATAGTAACAAGAGTTAAAGGAGCCTGTTATAGAGGCATGTCAGTCGATAGCCATAAGGGGCCAAGGTTATCTGCAATGGCTAGTGCGAATTACATGTGAATGAGGTTAAGCAGAAGCCAGAACAGGACTCATTTTCATTAGCATCCCTTACAACATGATCAATAAAGGTTTCAATTACGATATCTGTTTATTTACTTATTTTAACATTGGACACTGCAGCTACACAGTTCTTGTCCAAACACATAAGTGGGGTGTCATTTCAAGTTCAGAACTTGGGCAAATATTTTGATCATTACATTTTAGAAGGTTCTTGGAGCCTTGGGGCCCCAGATAAGGCTTGGCCTTTTCTTCCTGTGATTGTAAAATGAACATGAAATCACATATGTGGCGTAAGTATCCAGTGACAGGCAGCCACAACTATAATGTTCCAATGTTTTTTTTTACATTACAAGCTTCTATTATAATACTACATTTGATCCTTAATATAAGAGCTAGTTGATTAATTTGAGTAGATTAAAGAAGTTTTTTAAGTTAGTTATTTGTAATAAATATGTATTGATTTTTCTAGAATACCCTTACTAATCATGTGTATCAGCTAAACTATCATTTGATAGAACGTTTGTTATGTGCAACTACTACAAAGACTACTTTAAAAAAAAATAGATAAATATGAGAGACAAAATAGATAAGGATCTTATATTTAAGATCAAATTAAAAGTCAAACTAGCTCTTATATTAAGGACCAAAGGTAGTATATCTGAACTGAAGAACTTTAAAAATTTGGACCAGTCGTGGAGATGACCATCGAAAGCATTGTACCTTGCAGAAATTTTCTGACACAGGCCCATCATTCTCTGACACAGTCAATTCCTGGACTACTTTCTCAAGTCCTTTGCTAATAGCTTGCATTTCCTCTGCCAAATATTTCAATTGTATCTGTATGGATTATAGAGTACTTATTTTACTCAGTTACACCAAATCAGAAAATAACAAAATCCCCCGATCTGATAATGCAATAGAAAGAGATACCTTGGTTGAAGCTTCCAAGCTCTCTAAGTCTTTCGAGAAATCTAGAAGTTCTGGCAGCTTTTCAGCAAGCACCTGCAGCTTGTCAATTATCAAAAATAGTTACTATGTTAATTAATTCACTTGAAGAGTCAAAGGAGTTGTGCCAAAATCAATAGAGCTGACAGCCATAGCAAAACACACAGAATTGTCAAACACCAAAAATACTTCCATAGCCATATATGCATAAAATGAAAGGCAATGTTGTAGCTATGACAATTGCAGCTGCATGTCTACTGGCAGCCTCATCCAATGATCTTTATTGATATTTAAATTAGTTCTAATGGTCACCAAGTAAACTAATAAGGATTATAGGTTGACTGTTGGAATTATTATAAACTAGACCGATAGAGTTGCTTTAACTTTTTGCTCGAGTATATTTTTCTATTTCTACTCTATCTTCGAGCATGTATCAAGGGTATTCTTGCCAGTACTCGTAAGCCATATTTTCCTCAGAGGAGAGCATTTTAAGATAATGCGTTACCATCAGGGGCAATGTTTCCTAAGTTCTCTGTCCTTGATATTCTTCTTTAATTTTTACTGACAGCCAAAATAAGAGGAATTTAGCAGTAAATCAAGCTTCTTGTATAGAAACTAAGCAACCAATTCCTCACTGTCTCAAGCTCCTCAGTTGAATGGCCTAGGGAAAAAAACAAGAGCCAAATTTTGCTCATCGAGCCATACAAAGATAGAAACTGAAGAAGCATGTTTTCTATCAAATTCTATCAAAAGAGCCAAGAACGCATAACCTTAAGAATAAAAAAGGTCGTTGCAAATGAAGCAAGTCAAGTAGCATGAACTAGCCGCCCAAATATAGCAAGTCTAGCAACTGAAGTTGAATATCCTTCATAAAGACATTAGTATCTTCATTTTTAACTTCAAAGAACATCTTCAAAAGTTTTGTTGCTCATAAATAACCTTTAAAGCGCAGAGGTCATTGAAAAATAAAAAAACTACTCAAGCATAGCTACACCAATATAATAAATTTGGCGACCAGAGCAAGAACATTCTTAAAGACATGACCCCCCCCCCAAAAAAAAAAAAAACAATTTGACCTCCTTTTTCATGAGGTTACGTTACATATGGTTTGTTTTATCTAAGTCACAAGACGAGATGGAGATTTTTTCTCATATTTGTATCCATTGATTTTAGTTTCACTTTCCATTTTCTCATCCTTTCTGAAGGACAGGACGGAAGGCTGTCAGTATCTCAAAATAGAAGAGTATCATGTATGGTTGTCATCATACAGAACACATTGACAGACTACACATATACCAGTCAACACACTGCTATAATTAAATTTGTGGGAATTTTGATGTCACTAAATATAACCAGACAATCATATGTTCAGAGAAGAAACTTAACAATCTGTAGAGAAGACATCTACAAATACTAGGCATCCTTTGAAAAGGCCCAAAAAGGGAAGAAATGAGTCACTTGGACTGGACACATAGTATGAGAGATTCTATGAAGTTTAATTCCACGGTACATCCAACCCATTTTCTTTTGCAGTTAAATTAGTATTTAAGCGTATTGCTTCTGATGAACAAAATTCCGTCAATATCATTAAGGGGGGAAAAGCACATATCACCTATGAAGCAAGTCAAGAAATCTTCGTATATGCAGGTAACCAAAGCTGACTAAACCTCTATTCTTTTCCTTCCATGGCATTAAAATCAGTAAACTAATGGTGACATATACTTTACATATATAGCAAGGCATTAATAAGGGCAAGTCTTATTTCCTCTGTCAGAGAACATTTACCTTACAAAGATAATGCATGAGAGTCATTTTGTTATTCCTGGCTCGTGTATCAGTGAGCTTAAGGAGACTATCCAATCGAAACCCAATAGCAGCACCTACAGTGATTTTATACATTAACTTGGAGAAAAGAAACCAAGGGTAATGGTATAATGTTCCGAGTAAGTGTTACTTGAGTAAAAACAAAAAGTTATTGTTCAACAATAACAATAGGATGTACATAAATAATGTCTTTAGAGTAATTTGATAGTCCATATTAACTTCTTAAAAATATCTATATTCATCAAATCATATACTCACACTTTTTTATGGTAAATGAATAACCTTTAACTCACCTCTTGCAGTTCCGTGGTTCAAAGCATTACCAAGAGAAAGAATAGTCTGCATAATTCTTTTCAACTTGACTGAACTCCTGATCTGAAGTGCAGAACAATAAAAGTTCATTACAGAAGCACGAGGAAGGATTGCTAAGCATTGATAAGATACAGGTATGTGACTTGCCTCTTCAGATGCAGAGTTTACAATATTCAAGTCCCTTCTAAGCTCAGAAACCTACAAGAATATTATATAGTGAAGTTCCTTGGAGCAGCTAATTTGTAAACAGTAAGGACACAATTATTTAATAAGAAAAAGGATTGACTCGCAGTCTTCTGACCTGAGTGCCGAATTGTATCTTAAAAGAGAACACTCTTAACTTCCTTTCTACTCTTGGAACTTTCATCAATTCCAAGAAGAACTGTTACAGAGTGCGAAAGAGATAAGGATACAACAATATAGGTACTTTATCCGTTGTGAATGTAGAGGATGCATTTAAAGAGAGAAAGGCATAAGAGAACGCGATTGTACATAGGGTTCACCTATCATACTTAAATATGGGACCAATTACTCAACTTCTTTATATCTACCCTCTCTCTGAATGCACCATCTAGTCATCTACATTCGTTTTGTGGATGTAGAGTCCAAATCAAAAGTCAACCACAGTATAGAGTTCAATCTCCATGTAAATGATATCTTGAGTATCAATTGCTGGCCATAAACGTGTAAAAATTGGTTTGCAACAAAGGTTAAAATGGAGAAATCCAACAAGGTTAATTAGTGGCTAACATTTTTCTTATTGCACCACTAATCATCGTAGTCCTAATCTAAAACATTTCTTGAAATGAGGAAAAAGAAAGAATCATAGTGAAAGGATAGAAATATGGTTTACCTGTTCACACCTTCCTAAGTTGCCCTTATCTCCAGTGTAGTTCTGCATGTGATGTAATGATAGATTAATTTAGTTCAAACAAACAGAATGTCCCAAAGAGTTCATGCTCTCCCTGTGTCATGATTCTAGTTAATTTATAAGTGAAAGAGTGGGGAAAGATTTCATACCCTGAGCAGTTCCATCTCTTCCTTCGTTGGACAGAACTTTATGAGGTTCTCAACCTGATCGGCATCTAATGCTGAATCATCCAAAGCAAGGACAGAGCTCTGAAGACCAACATAATAAAGTAAGTCAAAAGAAAAAAAAATAGGAGTTCCAAGAGCCAAACTTCTTTATAACCCAGTAGAGGTAATTGGAAATTCTAAATAACAGTAACCATAAACTGGACATGTGTAGTGTGATTGGACCTGAGTCATTTACAAAATCTGTCCGTGATTTTCAGTTAGAATTGAAAGGAACAAAGACAGCTGAATAGTCAGTAGGAAACGTTCAGACAACGTATATAAATCATGAACATCACAAAGTACATTCAACAACAATTACCAAATTAATTATAGAATAAAATAATTGCACTCTATTCTTCAAGAGATGCCTAAATTATAGAATAGCTAACAGTAACACTGAGAACGCATTAAGAATTAGACATCTTGCTAAATTAGAAGCACCTAAAGTGTGGAATGTGTTCTCTCGGTTCCCAATCCAAACTAACCGTTCATCATTTTTTTTTCCCTGGCCAGATAAACTAACCTTTCATCATGATCCAAGCCAAACCGAAATTGTGATGATTGATGATTGGTCTGGGTTAGGTTGGGATATCAGATTTTGGCATCCTTTGAAAATGTAATTTTGTGTGTTAGAGTTTTTTTCTTTTTTTGGTTGGAGGGTGGGAGGATAGATTCCCGATGTAAATAGTAGGCTAGAATTAAATGTTCCAAGAACTAACACAAAAAATAAAATGCCCATCTCATTTGGGATGGTATAATTTCTCTACTTGCTCTTTTCTAATATTAAAATATTATAGAAATATCCTTACCCTGACAGAAAAGAATTTAAAAAAAAATCACACAGCACATGCAGTCAGTTCAGAAAAATTGGTCAGGGAATTGAGCGGCCTTGTCTACACAAGCCTCTTCTCTTTTTCAGCTCACTGTGGGTTGGGAGACGATGGGGTAATCAAGTGGTGTGTTAGAGTTTTGCGGTTAAAGCAGATTTCTCAAGGGTGCTAATTGACTGATAAGAATATCCCATGAACGTGATACGGAGAGGAAAAAGTGTATACTGCTGCGATTAAATCACAGGCACTCTGTGCCAAGTTTCAGCTGGTAGTCAAACACAAAATTATGCTAAAGAGTTGAATGAAGTTTTAAATAATTGTTTTTTTATGGAACCTCAATACAACTCAATGATCATAGCAGTATGTTGTGAAAGTAAATTATACGATATATCTCACCACTAAATCGGGCAAAGGGATTTTGACTTTTGTAAGCATGATCTCACAATTATATGCTCGCCTTAGCTCAATCTGCAAAATAGCATAATTTTTTTAATAAAGAATTCAAATTATTTAAAAGGTTCTTACAATCAGTTTTTGACAGATTAACGTGCACGCTGATGGAAGGCATCAATGTGCATCACAACCAATTCAGTAAGAAAGAAAAAAATCCACGTTCACGACAACTTAGAATGAAAAAGATCAGAAAGTCACAAATGCTTATGTTTGCGCAGTTAAATAAACAAAACAGTAGAAGCTGATCAAAATAAGTGAGTTGAGAAAATAACATGGTTTACGAGATGTCAATTACTTTTGTTTAAATTGTACTGTTTTTGGATTTTTCAAGACACAGTATAAATCTAAAAAATGTGTTCTCATTAACAATAGAGAATAGTTTGTATCTGGAGTATATGGTTGAGCAGATATTAAGAGGCATACCAGTTGAACTTTCTCAGTTTTAGTCCCTGAGGCAAGACGATTTGATTTTCCTCCTTTGCTTCCACGATCAGAATTTGGAGTAGCTGCAGAGAAAAGACTCTCAAGTTCTGACATGTCAAATTCTGGAGCCCTAGCACAAAAAGGTTGGAAAACAATTTTTAAAAATAATCACAATTCTCATAGACCAAAAGCTAGAAAACGCTTAGTACGGTTCTCATACTTAGAAGCTTCCTCAGGTTTCTGCGTCTCAGCCCATAAACTTCCATGCATGACCCTTGTTAATTTTAACCAATGGTAAGGTTTCAGATTGCTCCTTTTAGTTTGCGTTTGAATTTTTGCATTTGGTCGTGACAAGCCACGTCCCTTTGCACCAAATGGAACGGTAGGCGGTCCAGGAACACTAGGTGGTCCAGGAGCTGGAGGTATATTTCCGTTACCAGTGCCAGGGTGCAGAGTTCCAGCCTTTGACAATCCATTCGCTGAAGGGGGAGGAGGTACAGTAGCAGAGTTCTTTGACAAAGATGTGGTAGGAGAAGCAGGAGGTAGGGGTGGCGGCGGCACTGTTGATGTAAGAGTAGGACCAGATATGGTTCCAGAATGCCCAGGAGGCGGAGGTGGGGGTGGAGGGCCAGAGATAGCAGCAGAATTGTTCATATTCAGTGGAGAAGGATTAAGATTGGCAGCTGAAGAAGGAATTCCAGAGAGTGGAGGGGGAGGTATTGAAAAGGCCTTAGCAGTTGAAGATAGAGATGGAGGTGGTGGTGGGGGAGGGGGAGCTTTGAGTGAATTTTCTGAAGTGGAATGCGGAGATCTTGGGGCTGGAGCTGGGGAAGGAGCGGGTGAAAATGAGCTATTCATGGAAGATGGAGCGAGAGGAACTGGTGTTGTGTGAGGAAGCGAGGGATGGAGAAGGGGAGATGCAGATGAACCATTTACAGTGGACTGTGATGTTAGAGGAGAGGGAGACGGTGGTGGAGGGAGTGGAGGGGGCGGAGGACGGGTTGACAATGAACTCTTTGTGCATGAAGGAGATGGAAGAGGAGCTGCAGCTGAGTGAGGAGCTGGGGGAGGGGGTGGGGGGCCTTTGAAAGAATTTTTAACAGTGGAATGTGGACATGTTTCAGGAAAAGAAGAGGATGGTTGAGAGGCAGGAGGTGGTGAAAGAGTGGTTGAAAATGAGCTCTTCAGAGAAGATGGAGAAAGGGGGGCTGCAGTGGGGTGAGAAGGGGTCGAAATAGAACTCTTGATAACCTCAGGAAGAGATGGCAAAGGTGCAGGAGGAGAAATTAATGACTTCTTACTTTTATCATGTGTTATATTTTCAGGCTGCTGAAAGACAATAGGTTGCATCAATCCTGAAGAAAGCTGAGGTTGATAAGGAGTTTGAAGAGGAGAAACTAATGACTTTTCACCTTTTTCATGCGCTATATTCTCAGGGTGCTGGGTGACAGCACGTTGCGTCAATTCTGAAGTATGCTGAGATTGAGATTGGAGTGCAGGAGTAGGAGGAACCAGTGATTTTTTAGTTTTATCAGGTGCTATATTTTCTGGGTTCTGGGTGACAATAGGTTGCATCATTCCTGACGTAGGCTGCGGTTGAGGAGGAGAAGGAGAAGAAACAGCAGGACCAAGGGGTGCAACAGTGTTATGTGTGACAGCAGTAACATCCATCAAAGATTTCAGTGCTAAAGATCGCAGCAATGTTGATGATGATACTGGAGGAACACTTGTAGGACTTACAGATTTTGGCACCCCTAAGACAGAAGGAGACAACGTAGAAGAAGAGGAGGGCACAGTAACTCCATGATTGACCTCTTTCTTGATATCCCCTTCCGTACGATCCTGCAACAAAGCTGTTATTCCAAGGGCTGATGGGGCACTAGGATATCTTGATATGGGTAGAGGTGAACCTTGTGAAGAACTACAATATAAAACTGGAACAGATTGAGAAGCTTGACGCACCCGTGGAGAAATGATTTTGGATTGGGTGGGCAACTGAAGAGCAACCTGCAAATGTTGAGGTTCAATCCTCCTTTTGAGAGAATAAGGATCGGCAGAAGGTTCATGTGAGGGAATAGATTCTTTGGTCTGAGCTGCGGATGTGAGACTCTTGGTATTGTCTTCTGACAATGCCATTGTTTCTGATGTTTCTATCATCTTCTTAAGAGAATTAGCATCATCAGAAGGCTTGTGTGAGAGACTAGATTCTTTGGCCTGAGCTGAGGATGTGAGACTCTTTGTATTTTTGTCTGGCAATGGTTTTGATTCTAATGGTTGGAACTTTTTTCCCATTGATTTCGCTTCCATGGATGGTTCAGTTAAAAGAATAGATTTCTTCTCTTGAACCATTGCTGGAATGAATTTTGCATCATTTTCCAGCAATGTCTTTGATTCTAGTGCATCCATAGGCAGTTCTAAGGGAAGAAATTGATTCCCTTGATCCTTTAATGTAAGATTCTCAGTATCATTTTCCGGCGACGCTTTTGATTCCAATGAGATAATCTTTTTAGCAAGATTTGAATCAGTTGAGAGGTCTGATGGGGAAACAAATTGCTTCGCATGACCTGATGATGTCGTAATCTTGTTATTTTCTGACAACACCTTTGTTTCCAATGGTTCCATTTTCTTTTTGCAAGGAGGATCCGGAGATGATTCATATGACGTAGGGACTTTTCCAGAAGATGTGGAAGTCATATTTGAGATATCATTTTCTGCCAGTGTTGTTGGATCAAAATTAAATCTTCCAGACAATGAATCCTTTGGCAAGTTGCTCGGTCTTACAGAAACCCCACTTTCGAATATTTCCTGGAGCTTATTTGATGCTGTGATCTGCTGGAGCACATTCACTACCTCAGTTTTTGAGTCTAACCAGTCAACATTGCTGAAAATTTCTTGAACCTTGGCAAATGCTTCAATAGGAAGGCCCTCTTTGTCCTCAATCCGAGGCATATCAATTGAAATAACAGAAGAAGAAGCATCCATATCTGAGAAAAGAATCTTCAACAAAAAATATAGCATATACTCAACAAACATTAAATTGATTATCACGAGGAAAAAAAATACAAGAAAGAAGAAAAGAGAGACATAATCACCTCTACTCTAAAATCCTTTGGAAATTGGTCCTTATCATTCCACAACGTGTCGATTTCATCACGGTTAAGCATCAAAATATTTGATCGGATAAATGCTGTATTAAACATGATACGAAACATCATTTGCTCACGTTCCAAATCACTATCCAGACTAATACACTCCAGAACAACATCGCCTTGAACATGACAATGGATGTCAATCTTTGCTAGTTCACAGTCGGCCTGGGACAGAAACAACACTTGAATGAATAGATTAAGAGACATGGGGGACCCCCCCAATTGCGAATGCAAACCCTGTCTTGGCAGGATTCCAATCTACTCATTTCAAAACTGCCAAATAACTACAGCCAGTGTGACATAAAGCAGACACCAAATTCCCAGCTTATGTTGTATTTAACATGATTTCAAGCTGATTCTCAACATTATAAAACTCGATATGCACCACAGGTCCAGTTTCTTCTCCCAAGAAAAGGAGAGAAAAGTCCTTACCTACTAAAACCCCATCCCATCCTCATAAAAATATAAATAGATACCCACCGGTAGGGGAAAAAAATCCAATTGAAAATGACAAATTTGATCCAGATTTCATTTTGAACTAAATACTTTTTGTTGATCATTAGGATAATCATTGACTTTCTGTATAATTAGATCACAGGAGGCATATACCAATTCAGATTTACGTTTGATGTATTCGCAAATTAAATGACAAAATTCTATAACATCACCTCTGGACTTAAAAATGAAAATCATTAGTGAAAGAGCATTTGAATACAAGTAGCAGGAATAAAAACGAAGGAAGATAGATTCAGTCTTCATTGTCTTGAACCAGCATGAATAAAAGTTAAGAATGTAGTTAGAAAGCATTTCATAAGAAAATAATAGGATATAAGTGCCACCTGCTTGTAATGCCGGACAACTTTGCTCCTCTTTGGGGTTGAAAAAAGAACTTTGGGAGTCCGATCAGCAGCCATAAAAGGGTCCTGTCCATATATTCTGAATATAGGACAGCAACCTCCCTCTCCATCTATATTAGGAATTAATCTCATAATAACACAATCCAATGTAAGTGCTCTATCTAGAGGAGGCCATTGCGATCCTACATTTCTTCTTGATACATACTGAAGATACCTCAATTGCGAAGGCAGGGGATTCAATGGGGACATTAACTGCAAAAGTTCCCGAGGTGCTTGCTTATATATCATATCTAAGGTTTTTTGCTCCCCTGTATACTGCTTCCTATAAATCAATAGAGCAGCCAGCATGAATGCTAAAACTGGCCACCCACCTCGTTCACAATGCATCAAGATAATATTATTTTGCCCGAGTTGAAACCAGCTTTCACATGATCTTAAGAAGTGGTGAATCGTCTCCATAGTGAGTATTGGACAACCTTCATACTGTCGAGGATATTCCATTATAGTCATGTCATAGTCACACAAGATGCTAGCTATCTGGCTTTGATGGTCACCCTCCCGAAAGTTAAACACCATGAATGAAGAATCAGGAAAGTGATCATGAAGTAGCCCAATAATTCCCAGTATATAGACTTTATATTCTTCTTCCTCCAAAACATCCGTGCTAAAGCAGTAATCAAAGACTACAGCATGCACCAACAAAATAATCAAACCACATGAAAATAGACAATACTAAATCTTTAGTGCAATGAATATGTACGAAGTAATATAACAGGATTAAGATACATGCAGACTAGCATATTTGGGAAATCACCAGGCCCAGTATCTATGACATTAAAAGTCACAAGGCCTTCATAGCACAAGTCTCCATCACCAGTCTCAGAGAATTCTTCAGCAGATCACATTTCATTTGTCATGGATAGTTGATGCTACTAGCAGAAAATGGCAAAGTGAAAATGAACAAAATTCACATAGGCTCTCCACTGTCTATTCAAGGAATACCATTTTTTGCAGTGGAAATTTTAAGGAAAAACATTGCTTCTCGTCTATAAATAAACATTTTTGCTCAATATACGTCACTTCATTATTTGCATGCTCTTAACATATTAACTATGAACAACGAAAATAGGGTGGGGAAGAAATGTTGTTTAACAGTCTTGTAAGTTTTGAATCCAACCTAAAAGCTTCAGACCATCAACTTTATGGATATCAACAATGAAGTTCACTCAATATCTATATTATAACCCATCATCCTACGAGAAATTATTAAGCCTGATACAGAAAAACGCCATTCAGTAAGGTAAAAGATGTCAAAAGCCCATTCAACAACTGGCATTTAGAATGTAATGACTACATATTTTAATCAGCAAATATTGAAAACATATATAAGTCCCGTGTGCGCACTAGAACTTGCAGAATCACCCAGAAATACTGGAAAGCCAGCATCATAAATGCATAAAGATGACATTACTACTTGAAGAACCGATGCTTATGCAAAATAAGCATATAGAAAACGTACCAAAAACACTCTCAGATATTTCTAAAAGCCCATCGGGTGGCTTCTTATAGAAGAACTTCCGGAACAACGCCATTGTCTTTAAGATCCGCCGCGGACACCTATAACCGGCCTAATCCACCCACATTTCGTTCGAGCTGAGAATCAAAGCGACTCGAACATACAGCGGGATCAAAGGAATGCCACCGAACAGAAATCAAATAACAATTATGAAGCGAGTGTGTGCATTCAGGACCAGAATAATGGATTTTGCTGGGTCTCGAAGGAACACTTTCTGGGTATTCTGACTGTCTCCACATGCACTTTATGTATCAGATGAAAAGAGAAAGAGAAAGAGAAAGGGAAACTTAGCTTTCAATCAAGAGAGAGAGGGGAGTTCCAAGTTGAAACTTTGAGAGAAAGATAGTGGTTGGAATATTCATATGATTTTTATTCCAATGTTGGATTAGCGGGAAGAGTTAGATATGGTGGCTTTTAGAAGAACAATGTGGGATCTGAGGTTTGTCGCTCTCTATCTCAGTCTCTGTTTTCTATTTCCTTGTCACTCTCTGTCCGTATCTTGGCCATGTTATGAGAATAAACAGATTGAGGTGATGATGATATGCCTCTGTTCCTTCTTTTCATTCCCTCACTCGTCCAAGTGGTTTCGCAGATCATAGAATAATAAATCTGTGCTCTGTTGCGTTCACGTGGGCAATCCCATGAATATTGACAAGACAATCACCAAATTTAATTGACACGCCTTAATCAAGCAGGAATTAATGTCGTTAATTAACAGGATTTATGTTTTGTATGATGACGTCCGTCTATTAGTTTCATTTCATCCCATGCACTGTTCACAGCAGATCACGGTAGCTGTCGTTTGCCCGCATGCCGAATTATTTGTGATTTTTTATTTAATTTAGACTCATGCAAATACTAAGCACGAATCACAAATCATCGAAAACTTTTGCTATTTGCATGAATCCAAGTTAACTTTTTCTTTTTTCTGTTTTGCTTAAATATCATAAAGAATATTATAAATTCAACTTATAATCTCAAAGCATACAATATTTAGCATGATTATCATATAATTTTTTTAAAAAAATCATCAACTAACATTAATTATAAACTTTAGAACTTTCAAGAAATTTTTATTTTCACAAATGAAAATTCAAAGACCGTTTTGATTAGATTTTATCCGCGCATCAATAAAGAATAAATTAATTATATGTTCTTCCTAGAAAATCATTAATATTTAGGGAAAATCCCTTAAAAAGACGGTTTAATAACTCAAATCTCCATTTGGGCTATTAAATTTCATTAATTCCTAATTAGGTTGCATAGCCCAAATAAGGATTTAAAAATTTAATAAAATTACTGTAATGTCCTTTTATTATAAACCTAAAGAGATGTATATTATTTATCACTCCTGCCTAACGTAAGAGTTCTGAAGGAGCGAACTTGACGTCTATCATTCCAAAGTCGAAAAATCAAACAAGAAAGCAAAGGTAAGTTAGTTTTTTATATTAAGTCTTTTCATCTTAATCCTGAAAATTTCATCATGCTATCTTGGTCCTTCCTTTTCTTAGTATGGATTGTGGGCGATGGGGTTTTTGTAGGGGAGGAAGGAAAATTTGCCGTACAATAAGAAGTGCATCATGAAAATAGCTAAATGAGAGTACGGAGTGTTGCTTTTAGGATGAGTAGGAAGGTTGATGTATCTGTGTGATGCAGCGTTTACAACGAATAGATATGCATGATGACTGATTATATTTGCTTGATCGTAAAAGTTTAATAGAAAAATGCTATGAGGGTTGTGTATGTTGTTAATAGCTAAGTATAACGTGTTAAAACATGATTTGAAGTTGTTAAAATTTGAAGGTGGATTATGTTATGTTATTGTAAGAAGTGATCATGATCATAACTATAAGGGCTATGTTTTATGTCAATAGCTAAGTGAAATGTGTTAAAATCTAAGTTGAAGTTAATAAATTTTGAAGGTAGGTTCTGTTATATTGATTGTAAAAGGTGGAAATTATCATGGTTATGAGAGACACATTAGTGCTAATAGCTAAGTGAAACATGTTAAGATCTAAGTAAAAGTTGTTAATTTCAGAAGCCATATTCTATTTTGTTGATTGAAAAAAATTTATATTGTATTTTGTTGATCGAAAAAATTGATAATGATTATGACTAGTTAGTAGTCCTTTTTTTATTGCAGGTTGGCATAAAAAATGGCATCTACTTCAGGATTAACATTAGCAAAAGGATTATTTTGTTATTTTCATGTTGGTGGACAATTTGTCAAGAATCTTGAAGGTGAAATTCAATATGATGGGGGGAGTGTTAGGGTAAGAAACATAAGAGAGGGTATGACACTTGAAGAAATGAGAGTAATAATATATTCATGGATTGGAAATGACATTAATAATAGTGAGATGAAATACATAGTGTCTTTTGATCAGAAGACTCTAATAGATCTTGTTGATGATGAGGAACTTGCAAATCTTTTTCAATATAATGAGAGGAGTGGCCATGTCTATATAGCATGTAAAAGGAATGGCAATGCAGAAGAAGCAAGTGGTGATCCACAAATGTAAGTTAGTTGTTTTTCTCAAAAAAATAAGCTGTTATTTGTTAGAATATTCTTGTTAATAAAATAACAAACGTTGTGGTCATATAATGCAGCATGCATACAAGCGTGAGGCAGCCAGAACAAAGCTCTTTTTCTCCAAGAAATTTCAATAATGAACCTGAACTTGCATCTCATCAAAATGGTGTTACTTATGAAAGCTGTGGGGGACCTAGTAGCACACCATGTGGAGTACAAAGTGCACCCACACCTTTTCCTGAGTTGAACTCATTGAAATGGAAAGAGATATTTTCAGGCTTATCACAAATCTTTCCGAACGCTGATGCTTTCAAACGGCTGCTACACAAATATAGTATTGCTAACAAGTTTCAATACAAGTTTGTGAGGAACAACAAAGAAAGAATGTCTGTGAAATGTAAAATCGAAGGATGTCCTTGGAAGATAACTGCAAATGCAGTAGGAAAGAATACCCCTTTCCTTCATGTGACGCGATTCAATAATGAGCATGTTCACCATGCACAAGATTGTCTTCAAGTAAACCATGGGGGAAGAGCTGCTCTAACATTATCTATTATTATTGAAGATGTAAGATCACACATAGATAAGCGCCCTAGTGAAATTATGAAGACATTACAGAGAGAATATGGAGTAAATCTGACATATAAACAAGCATATGCTTCTAAATTAAAAGCAATGGAGGATATTCAAGGCAGACCAGATCAATCTTATATGCTTATACCATGGATATGTCAACGACTAAAGGAAAGTGATTCGACAACAGTTGCTGAATGGGAAGCTTCAAACAATTACATATTTGAGCGTGTTTTTATAGCATATGGTTGTTGTATTGAGGGGTTCTTGGTTGGGGCAAGACATATATTATATATAGATGGTACTCATTTAAGTGGCCCATATAAAGGAACCTTGTTGTCAGCCTCCACATATGATGCAGACAATGAGTTACTACCATTTGCAATTGCT